AATAATAATAATAATAGTAGTAGTAGTAGTAGTAGTAGTAGTAGTAGTAGTAGTAGTAGTATAGGAAATACTCTAAATGTTCTGAGGGTCATTTCGAAAAATCCTTTCTTAGCGAGCACCTAGAAGCCAGGAGGGACATACATGCCAAATTTCAAGTTTGTAGGCTTTACGGTTCTGGAGATTTTGTGATGATGTGTGTGAGTGGTATTTCGCTTTTATATATATATAGAAGGTGTGACAGCACACAATACATCATGTTAGGGCTTTAGCGATAATGCACCATGAATCTTTAGATAGGAAAACTGGGATGATCATGAATCTTTAGGTATGCAGGTAGTCCTCCAGTTATGACCCCAACGGAGTCCAAATCTCCATTGCAAAGCAAGACAGTTATTAAGGGAGTCAGCCCTGATTTTATGACCTTTTCCCGACAATCGTTAAGCAAATCTTGCCGCTGTCATAGATACATACCGGGGACCAAGTTATCGTAGGGGACATTAACAACGGTTGTAAGGGTGAGGAACAATCCTAACTCACTTTTTTTCCCCAGTGCCGTTGTAACTTTGAACGGTCACTAAACGGATAGTTGTAAGTCAAGGATTCCTTGAAAACTACAAATGTAATGTGTAAATGGAGCAGCTGGAAGAAATGATGTGTTAGTGCAAATCTAAACAAAAAAAAAAACCCATCATAGCTAAGATAGACTATTATTCTGTACGTATTATTGGTATATAAAATGATTTGACCAATTTTTCTTTTTTTCTGTCCCCCGTGGCAAGTACAGCCAAAATAATTATGGAATTGCTGTGTTTTATATTTCGGATAAAATAAAATTAGCCTGTTTTATATTTCAGATTCTACATTTTTAACTGGCACAGGAGTTCCTTTTAAAAGCATATATTCTTGAAACCGGTTGTTTAAAACAGTTTCACTTGGAACAGGGGAGAGTTAGAATTGACTTCTTAAATCCAGAGTATGCTGGGGACTGAATTTATTTTGCAATCTCCCATTAAACTGTTACGACTCTGGGTAATTTATTCCTGAAATACAGGTGCATATTTCATGAAGCTAATGTGTGTTTTTATGCTCTTCTTCCTCTTGACAGCTAAAAGCTGATGTGGTACCCAAAACAGCAGGTAAGAAACTCTTTAATGATTTGAAGATTTGCTCAGGGAGCATCTCAGCGAGAAAAAGAAGGAGAATTGAAATGCTTTTAAATAATGATTTCATACTTTCATCAGGCACGAGCTGCAGAAACAGAATTCTTCTCTCTTACTTGTAGCATATTCTTCATGCAGTTTTTCTCCTTGGCTTTGGATGTTCTGATTCCGCTTCTCTAGTTAAAATCATAAAGGTGATTAAATAAGAGAGGTAATTGTTTATTGATCCGGTACCCAACTGTCAAAGAAGAACTGGAAGCCTGATAGGGACATATATTTTTTTGCAGAAAGAAGAAAAGACCGAATTGATAATTTATGGATCTGGGGATTAAAAAGATATTTTAAAGGGGAAGGGAAAGAAGAAGATAGCAAAGAGAGGCAAAAAATAATAATAATTCTGGGTTTTGTTTTTTCACTTTTATTTCTTTCCTTTTTTTATACTTTGATTGTCTTGAAAAATTCTGGATGAATGGATAGATGATGGATGATAGATGGACAGATAGATGACTAGATAGATGATAGACAGACAGAGATAAATTGATAGATGATGGATGATAGAGGATAGTAAATTGATGGATTGATAGATGGATGATTGATAGATGATTGATTGATAGAAGATAGATAGATGATGGATGATAGAGGATAGTAAATTAATAGATGATTGATAGATGGATGATTGATAGATGTTAATAGATGATTGATTGATAGATAGAAGATAGATGATGGATAGAGGATAGTAAATTAATAGTAGATTGATAGATGATTGATAGATGGATGATTGATTGATAGAAGATAGAGATAGATGATGGATGATAGAGGATAGTATACTGATAAATGATTGATAGGTGGTTGATAGATGATTGATTGATAGAAGATAGACAGAGAGATGATAGAAGATAGAGGATAGTAAATTGACAGTAGATTGATATATGTTTGATGGATGATCTGTAGAAAGATGATAGATAGATTCATTCATTCATTCATTCATAGATGATGCTATACCCAGGACTTTTGCTTCTTGATGGTCATGTTGGGCCAGTACATCCACCTGAGTTGTAAAAGGGTTAATCTTAGCCCAAAGTGACCTCGTCTGTCAACCCTAGACAGCCTGTGGTAATATTTACAAAGTCCCAAAAGATTTTTTTTAAAAAAAAGCAGAAGAAGGGCGAAGGCAGAGAAACCAGGAAGTGACAAGAGGAAGCAGGGGGTTTCTTTGCTGTTACAGAGAAGACTAAAATGTTGCCCAACATTTGACCTGGTGATTTCAGGTTGTAGCCTGCCTACCATCCAGATGTCCAAAGACATCTCCATGGTCATGTGGCTGGCATGACTAAACACCGAAGATGCACGGAACGCTGTTCCCTTCCCACCAAAGGGGTCCCTATTTTCCTACTTGCATTTTTTACCTGCTTTTGAACTGCTAGGGTGGCAGAAGCTGGGACAAGTAACGGGAACTCACTCCATTATGTGGTGCTAGGGATTCGAACCGCTGAACTGCTGACCTTTCTGATCGACAAGCTCAGTGTCTTGACCCCTTAGCCACTGCGTCCCACATGTAGAGGCTCTAGAAGCTTGTAAAACAATTGGTCACCAAGTGAACTTTTTAAATCCCTGTGGTAACCGGGAACAGTCACTAAAGAAAGCAATCACTAAACAAGGACTACTTATATTTTGTTCCTGGAGGCTTCTGCAGCCCTTGCTATGTATTATTGCCTGCATTATCACACCACTGGGATTTCTTTCCTTAGTAGCAATAAGAGTTGCTCTCTCTCTTTTTTTTTTTTTCCTTCTTCCCCTTAGAAAATTTCAGAGTTTTATGCACTGGAGAAAAGGGCTTTGGGTACAAAGGATCCACCTTCCATCGAGTGATCCCTTCGTTCATGTGCCAGGTAATAAAAAAAAAAAACAAATGTCCATTTTTGCAAAGTTAATTGTGAAAAAGACAAATGACTTTATTGCAATAGGGCGAAAGGCACCTTAACGACTCGAAATAATGGTTCAGATGAACGGTTGGAAGGGACCTTGGAAGTCATCTAGTCCAACCCCCCTGCCTAAGCAGAAGACTCTACCCCATTTCTGACCGATGGCAGTCCAATTTCTTCTTGAAAGTCTTAAGTGATGGCGCTGCCACTACCTCCAAAGACAACTTCTGTTCCATGGGTTGATTCTTCTCACTGTCAGAAAATTCCTCCTTATTTCCAGGTTGAAACTCTCTCCTTGATCCGTTTCCATCCATTAGTCCTTGCCCCCCGGGACGCTGCAACTGTCATAAGTACATGCCAGTTTCTAAGCGTCCGGATTTTGATCACATGACCACTGGGGAGGCCATAAGTCACTTTTTTTTTCAGTACCGAACAATCACTAGATGAGTAATTGTAAATCAAGGACTATTTGTATACAAATGTAAATCAGTTTTGTAGACCTTAAAAACACTGGAGGTTTTTAAGAAGAGATTGGGTAACCATTTGTTTGAAATGATATAGGTTTTCCTGCCTGAGCAAGGGGTTGGACTAGAAGATCTCCAAGGTGCCTTCCAATTCTGTTATTCTATTCTATTCTCTATTCTATTCTCTATTCTATTTTCTATTCTTCTATTCTCTGTTTTATTCTCTATTCTTCGATTCTACTCTATTCTGTTTTCTATTCTGTTCTATTTTCTATTCTATTCTCTATTTCTATTCTATTGTATTTTCTATTCTATTGTATTTTCTATTCTATACTATTTTCTATTCTATTCTACTCTCTATTCTTCTACTCTATTCTATTCTCTATTTGTATTCTATTCTCTATTCTATTCAATTCTATTTTCTATTCTACTCTATTCTCTATTCTCTTCTATTTTCTGTGCTATTCTATTCTCTATTCTATTTTCTATTCTACTGTATTCTATTCTCTATGCTTTTATTCTATTTTCTATTATATTCTGTTTTCTATTCTATTCTCCAAATAACTTAACATGAGCTTAGATAATTCATAAATGACCTCACCTGGAAATACAATCAGTGGTCCGGTGGAAATGTATGATACATCCCACTTTCTGGATATATTTGAATTCTGTTGTCAGGCTTTCTAAATAGCACTGTCACCTGAAGTATTGCCACTTAAAAGTAAGTTGCATTTAAGTGTGTATTAATAAGGAGCTATAATAATAGTGTCTATCATTCCACAATTCACATTTAAGCTCTGGGTGTGACAGAGCTAATTAAAACAATTAAATGTGCAAGGCTTTGATCTGTCAGCCTTGCTAAATTGAGAGGCATGTTAAGTTTTAAAAATGAGACAGATTTTGCACATAATGCGTTAAGTTGATTTCTGGAACATTGAAGCCAATCCCTATGCAATTCCAACTTCCTAAAATTTGTTGTCGACTCCCATAAATTCTGAGCCAATGGATCGCCTGCTATGAATTATGGAAGCTTGTTTACACCTCCATCTGGAGAAAGTTCCCAAGTTGGGGAAAGGAAGGTCTAATGCAAGGGTCTTCAAACTTGGCCAGTTCAGACCTGTGGACTTCAACTCCCAGAATTCCTGAGTTAACATGACTGGAGGAGGAATTCTGGGAGTTGAAGTCCACAAGTCTTAAAGCTGTCAAGTTTGTTGATCCCTGGTCTAATGAGTTAAACATCCTTCTGGCACTCTTCAGTATGATATCCTTGAACCATTCCAAATATTCTCATTGAGTTGAGCAGCCCTTCTAAAAGTCAATAAATTGTATGGTTTTAAAAAAAGGAAATTATCAAATGTATGGGAAAGAGTAGAGTAGAGTAGAATAGAATATGGATTAGGAGCAGAGTAGAATAAGAATAAGAATAAGAATAGAATAGAATAGAATAGAATAGAATAGAATAGAATAGAATAGAAT